TCTCTCTCTCTCTCTCTCTCTCTCTCTCTCTCTCTCTCTCTCTCTCTCTCTCTCTCTCTCTCTCTCTCTCTCTCTCTCTCTCTCTCTCTCTCTCTCTCTCTCTCTCTCTCTCTCTCTCTCTTTCTCTAGTATTTTCTTCCCCGACCATATCTTCTACTACTTTTTCTTCGCTTCTCCACCTCATCCGACAACGTCCGACGCTACTTCTCACGTTACTCTGGAGGGCTTAGCGCTCGTAGACACACGACACGTAAAGGTATAATGCTGAGCAGTACTCAGCCAGAGGCTATTGCCATATGTGATGTTGCATTAAACGCGAATTTGCCATGCACTGCCTTTTTCCTATGAGGCACTATGGTGGACATCCGATTAGTTTTATGAGAAGTATATCTACAAGTATATAACAAAGAGGAAGAATAATAGATCTAATATAAATTTAGACATATTAAAATTTATACGTAAATTTATACATACATATTAAAATTAGGTTGAAAAAAATGTATCTGAATCACGGTAAAATTTTGATTTAGATTCCAAATATGTGCTGGCCAATTATGTATAATCATAATAATAAAATTTTTTTGTGTACAATTTGTATACAATTAATAGATGTGGTAATGGCGACTTTGGTGAGATGGTGGCGCATTGGTCGCGAGCGGGAATCATCGTTTTTCTTGTAAAACGCACGCAATAAAAAATTATCATCAGCATAAGATTGTTAGTTATTCGCTACACCCACATGCAGAAACAAGATGTATGAATAAATTTTAAGAAATGTTTTTTTTTGTTTAGACTTACTGAATCTAAAGTCTCGTTTATAACGTTTCATTTATATATCTACAGTAAAATAACATCATGTTCAAATTAAGTACGACAGTAACGTAGTATTATACAATCCTACAATTCGTATCTGGCTACCCGTGGGATCGTATTAAGATAACAGAGGAACTTTAAACATGATGAAGAAACATTAGATACGGCTAACACACGTGTGATGATCGTGATTGCGAAATTGTCGTTACAACTGCCACGGCTGATGGCGCATCGGGACGAAGAATGCCGGTATATCGGATTTGAGCTCAATAAAAAAGTCATTCGAGAACTGCAAAAGCGCCGTATTGGCTGTAAAACGTTTGGCGAGTGATAACATTCAGCCGATGGTTCGCGAACGGACGACCACGGCAGCGGCGGCAACGGCGGCAGCGACGGCGACGGTGGTGGTGGTGGTGGTGGCGGTGGCGGCAGTGGTGGTGGTGGGTGGTTTCCTGTCTGGTTGGCTGACTAGGTGGATCGCGTTTCTCCTTTCCTTTCCTTTCCTTTCGACCTCCGTACCTTTCTCCTCCGCGAGATCAGAGGGATGGCGTAGAATGGGCATGAGAATAAGTGTGGGGTGGGGACAAGGAGGGGGGAGAGAAAG